TCACAGAAGCCACCGCTATAGCCCCCCACTACCAAAACCTCGCCATGCAAACCTGTAACACTCTCCAAATTATTTTTGGTACTGTTGGGCAATAGGTGAGCATTTTATTTATTCCAACACCACGCTGGCAACAGAGCAGAATGACCTAACCGAGTGTCTTTGCAAAGGCTTTGGTCTCCCGTGTTTACAAATCTGCTAGCTGAGGCTGGAAATGTGACTCTGTCCTTCACTGTAGAGTCCAGGCCATCCATGTTTTCGCAGCAGGAACGATTTTTAACAGTCACCAGGCACAAAGTCTTTGCCATTACTAACAATAGCAAAAAAAAAAAAGCCCAACTTGAAGTTATTATCCTCTGCCTACCATTTTTAAACTGAGTGATTTTTCTTCACAATAATGAGAAAAAAAGATATAGAAGAACATCAGAGCAGCTTCATGCTTTAAAAAAAAGAAATGTAAGATTTCTTAGCATGAGCTAATGGCTCTGTTGTGCATTTATGGATCTAGTGGACATATGCAATGTGATTTTGTTTTCCCCTGCAAAACAGTATGTTCTCTAAGGGTTGTATACCAATCCATGTGCCAAGTGCTTCAAATATTTCAACCTTTACGACAAGCTCTTTCTGCAGTCCTAGGCAAGCTGCTTTCTCTGCTCTGTGGCTCTGTCTCCCCTTCTGCAGACTCAGAATAATAATGTTGGTCTTTCTGAATGGTTTCAGGCTTTCTGTTTTGATGTGCAATGCAAATTTGCAATGTTAGGCCATACAGAGGATCATTACAAACCATATTGGAGGCCAGTACTGTGGACCTCTTATTGCCCAACTGGCTGATTGCACTAGGCTAGGAGTCTGAAAACGCAGATAAATTTTGTCTTGCATATTTTTATACCACTGGTTTTTTTTTAGTAACCTGCAGGTATATTTAATTTATTTTCCTCTGCTGGAAACATAGTGAAGATATACTTTCTATGTCATCTCCAGGAAAAAGGCTCATAAAGGGTAAATAGTTCCACTAGAAATCGTCTCCTATTAGTTGAAGCTAGTTTACCCTTTGGCAGGAATATACCTAGCTTTCAACTGCAGTTACAGCTACTTGAGCATTTATAATACACTTTTTAATGGAAAGAATTTCAGGCTTTTCTATTAAATCAAATTCAATGTCAGCTCTCGGAAAGAGGAAGGGGTCTTTCAAGCAGTTTTTTACCCAGAAAACATGTTACAGACTCTAAAAATAGGTTGTGCATACATTAATGGCTACATTATGAGGTACCCAAAGCTGGAAGGATGTTGAGCACTTTTTTAACTCCCATTGGCTCCAGGAGGGCTCAGTACTTCACAGAATCAGCCTGGGGGAGAGAGGAGGAGAACCAAGTGCGAATGCACAGTCCCAGCGGTGCTCAGGCTGCGCATGCAAACCTTCGGCAGTCAAACCACCCCCGGGAGCAGGAAAGGACGCTTCAGTCAGTAGCTCATTTCATCAAGGGTTCCCTCTCGCCAGAGGTGATCAGAAGGCGCGATCTCCTCGTAAGAACTAAAGGCTAAAACAGGAGGAGCTGCTTTGCCTTTGGATTGCACATTAAAAAAACCCACCCTTTTAACAGAAAGGCGCACATCGCAGCACAACAGAAAAAGAATGCCTGCTCCACATTGTTGGCAGGTATTGCAGAGGTGTGGGCTGCTTTTTAAAGCTCATTATCTTCTTTTCACTGTTTGTGCGAGCGGATAAAGCTTCAGTCCCTCTTGCCCTCTGCTTTAGTTTGGCCTGGATAAATGCCAGGTGCCCACCAAAACCCCTCCATCACTCGCCCTCCTCAGCTGGACAGGGGGGAGGAAATATGATGACAGGCTCAAGGGTCAAGATAAGGACAGGGAGAGATCACTCACCAATTGCTGTCACGGACAAAACAGATTGAACTTGTGGAGAAAAGGAAGTTTAATTCATCACCAATCAAGGGGGGAAGCTTCTCACAGAAGCCACCGCTATAGCCCCCCACTACCAAAACCTCGCCATGCAAACCTGTAACACTCTCCAAATTATTTTTGGTACTGTTGGGCAATAGGTGAGCATTTTATTTATTCCAACACCACGCTGGCAACAGAGCAGAATGACCTAACCGAGTGTCTTTGCAAAGGCTTTGGTCTCCCGTGTTTACAAATCTGCTAGCTGAGGCTGGAAATGTGACTCTGTCCTTCACTGTAGAGTCCAGGCCATCCATGTTTTCGCAGCAGG